AGCAGCACCACAGGCTCCCAACACCACGAAGGCACCACACAACAGCCACAGCACAGCACAAATTCCTTGTGTGTCCACGGAAAACAACCCTCTTCCACCACCACACAGGTGACACTGAGCAGCTTCCAACTGTGTTATTCCAAGTGGACCAACACCCAACACCTGGAATGTGTAACAGGACCAGCCAACCCGGCCATCAGCTCTCCCCTGTTCCCAAAACCCTGTGCTTTTTTTACCTGGATGCAAAGCCTCGAGTTCTCAGCAGCAAAACCTTTGGTGAAGGGGATTTAGCACTTTCTGGGAACGCAGGTCATAAGATTTTGGATTACTCTGGATTAGTTTCAGTTGAAAAACCCACCAGCCCAATATTTGGGGCTGGACTAGATGACCTTTAATGGTCTGTTCAGACTCAAACCACTGTAGGATCTAACAACCAGGAATTACCAGGTAAGAGTGGAAAACATGGAAGAGCACTGCTATGCACACCAAAATTCTACACAAACAGGTTCTTCACTCTTTTTCCACCTGGACTTTTGATTACTAATTTCACAAAATTCCCTTTTGGTTTCCGTTTTTGATTGCCAACTCCAGAAAAATATTTACAGAATCTAATTGCTACTAAAGCACTTAATGAAATTAGAAGTTAATAAGACAGAATCAGTGTTAAGAACATGAAAAAATACCCCCTTCCTCATGTACAAGATGGAATTAGTGAACAGCTCACACTGCTCATGTTAGAGACAAAGCCACTGCACCACTTGGGAACTGCAAACCTGGTCAAAACTGAAATAAATGCTAAGACAGACGAAGAAAGAACTCCAGTGTATGTATTTATACACACAGGTTTGTTTGCTTACCAGATAATTCAGCTGTATTAGCTGAATTAAAAGTGCAGAATCCCAAGGCCTGCAATGCTGCATTACTGAGCTCGGAGTTTGGACTAGAAATGTGTGCCTGGAAAAAGAACAGGAAACCACAAAGTCTCAGGTTACACAAGTAGCTGAGAAATATTGTCTTAATTGTCTGAAGAGCAGCACTTCTGGAGAGCTGTCAGAAGCAAACACTTGGTGGGAAATGCACCCCTGTAGGAATCCCTTCCTGATTCCATAAACTCCAAATCAAGAGGACAATTTGAGGTGCTGAAGACATTTTTGCTCTCTGTGTTTAGACATCTTTCCTGAAGCAAATTCTAAACATGCCAAGTCCTTTACTTTGGTTATGGATGTTACATTCTACCACTTGACTCTCCAGTTGTTTTTAAACATTGAAAAAAAAGGGGAGAAAAAATGGCTAAGAACAGTCTTCACATTAATCTTTGAAAAAACCTGACATTTACTGCATATTCTGAATTCTGAAGTGTTTCCAGAGGCAGCCACAACACACTGTATCTGTTCTGGCTGGAAGATTAGATTTGCCTCTGTGATGCTGCCTGAGCACATCCAAGACCCTGATTTTATTGTTCACACAAGTGTAGAGAACAGAATTAAAAAAAACAATACCTTAAACACTTTGCAGAGCTGAGGAAAGTGTTTTCTGACATCTGCAGTGAATACTTTGCCTCCTTCACCACTCAGGCGACTTTCAGGAGCAGAAGGGAAAACAAAACAATATTTACAAAACAAACAATATTTACAAACACAACTGACATAACTTTCAATTTTTGAGATGCATTAGCCAGGATATTTTCTTTGAAGGAAATCAACACAACACTGGACTAGTTAAAGAGCAAAAATATCAGTCACAACATGACCCGGCAGTAAAACATTGTGTTATAGTATAAAGGAAAAAATGAAGTGATTAATGACCCATTTAGTGCTTAAAGAGCATTAAAAAAAACCACCAAGGACTTGAATTTTTTGGTCAACTTCTATAAAAACATTAGAAGTTAACACCCAAACTTAGAATGACTGCTGAAAAGTTACATTTAACAGAAATCTATGAGCTTAAAAAGCACATTCCTCATAACCAGCTCCAGAATTCAGGTTCCCAACCCCATCCTGGCTTGACAACAGGCAAGGATGATTTTGCACATATGTGAAGAACATCCATACAGGAAAGCTGTAATTAAGTTCAGTCATCCTGAGGACAACCGGAGAAACCTGATGGGATTTATGTATTAAGTCGGGACTTTTTTTTTCTGTCAGTTGTTACTAGAAACTTGTAAAAAAACCTGAGTAACTAAAGCTTTAAAAGTCCCACAGAACCGCAAGGCAGGAACCCACGGGAGACACTGACGGAAAGAGATGGTGCCTTTGCACATGATAAAATGGGAAAGATGCAGGTGAAGAAGCACCTTTCAGAAAGAAAGGCAATTAAACCAAGGCGCGATCATTCGAAAACCCGAGAAAAACAACAAAAACCTCACCTTTCCAATCGTAAAGCTGAAATGCAGGCCTTTTTTTTTCATTTTAAACAAATAAAGTTATTATTTCCCAATATTCCTTCGCCCACCTTTGCAGATTCCCCAGGAAGTGCGACAGGGAAGGGAGGCTCTGGGATGCTCAGAGCCTGTAAAGGCGAACTCCTTCCTTCCTCCATCCTCCCTTCCTCCCCTTTCTCCATCCTCCTTTCCTTCTCTTTCCTTCCTTCAATCCTTCCTTTGCTCCTTTCTTTTCCTCCTTCCTTCGAAGGAAGGAGACATCCATCCATCCATCCTTCCATCCATCCTTCCCTTCCTTCCTTTCCCTCCTCTCCTTCCCTCCCTCTCTCCACCCCCAGGCCCGCGGGTCTCCCGCGGTCTCCCCCGGCGGCCCCGCCGCTCCCAGCCCTTCCTCCCTCAGCCCAGCCGGGGCAGGCGCGTCCCTGGCCCTGCCTCCCTCATCCCCGCCGGGGCAGGCCCTGCCGCGGCCCTCCCGGGGCTCTCTCTCTGCCCTTGCCCGGCCGGACCCTTCCGGCCGCCCGGTCTCCTCAGGCAGCGTGCGCGTGCCCCCCGCGCCCACCTGACGATGGTGAGGTGCGCGTCCGTGAGCTCTCCCGGCGGGGCGGCGGGGTCCTGCAGGGTGTGCAGCAGCGGGGCGAGGCTGGGGCCGGCGGCGGGGTCAGTGTGAGCGGTGGCCGGGGCGCTCATGGTGGCGGCGCTGGCGGCCCCTGGGCCCCGCGCACCTCCCGCGCTAAGATGGCGGAGCGCGCGGGCCGGGCGGCGGGCGCGGGCCCCGGCCAATGGGAGCGCGGCGGAGCCGTTCCCGCGCGCCGCGGCGGCCCCGCCCCCATCGCTGATTGGCGGGAGCGCTGCGGGAGGGGCGGGGCGGAGCGAGGGGCGGGGTCTCCTCAGCGCTGAGGGCGCTGGGTCTGCCGCGGCCGCCCCCCCGTCAGCCCTTACATCGTGGGATTGTGGGATCATGGGATGCATCCGCAGGGGTCATCCAGTCCGGCCGCAGTCCTGCCCAGGACACCCCAGCAGTCCCACCCTGTCCCTTAGAGCCTTGTCCAAACCCTCCTGGAGCTCTGGCAGCCTTGGGGCCGTGCCCACTGCCCTGGGGAGCCTGGTCAGTGCCCACCACCCTCTGGGGGAAGAACCTTTCCCTGAGATCCAACCTGACCCTGCCCTGGCACAGCTCCAGCCCTTCCCTGGGTGCTGTCCCTGGTCACACAGTGCTCCCCCCCCCCGCCCGCCCCTTATGAAGAAGCTGCAGACACCGATGAGGTCAAATCATTAATTTTAATGACTGGAAATTAACCTTCCAGCCGGCCTCCAGGTCCATAAAATCCTGCCGGCATCACCCGAAATTCCCTGAGCACAGGATGTCCCGCCCGGTGGGATGGAGGTGACGCCTGCGGGCTGCAGGGGTGGCTGGGGGTGGAATAGGAAATGCCAGGACTGGCAGCGAATCCAAAGTATGGAGAATCCCTGTTTTTCGGGGATAGAGACAGGCCTGAGCACTCAATGGCTGAGTCTTCCTCAGTCCCCTGCACTGGCGATGCGCGGCAGGAGTGACTGTCCTGGAAAAAGTCTCTTCCCAAAATCCTGCCCCCAGCTCCGGCTCCATGAGGGTCTCCAGACAGGCAGGTATTCCCTGTACACCCCTGGATCTGATCCATGTCAATTCAAGATCTGTTGCTTCGCAGTTAAAGGAAGAACAACAAACCCCAAACCGTAAAAAATTACCCCGGGTCATAAATAAAATGTTAACAATTCTCTTCATGCTTTTCCTTATTCTATTCCTTATTTGCAAGCACTACCTTGGAGAACTGGAATGGCATTGTATGTCTGTGAACACAAGGTGGCAGGATTAAAAAGCAGATTTTAGGTACAGCTACATCCCATAAATGTAGGGATACTGAACTTGTTTCCCGATGGAACAGGAATAAAGTGTTGGAAATAACCAAGAGAGAAGCTGCAACATTGTGCTCCAGTACAGCCAAGAAGCAGGATCATATTCCCAGTGAAATTACAGCAATAAAAGCTCAAAAATGAAATCAATTAAAAGAATTGAGCATTAAGATAAATAAAGCAAAGACAGGTTTGATTAGCTCAAGATCCTCCTTGTGGAAACCATTTTCAGAGGGATTCACAACACTCCAAACAAAATGCAATTCCCAAAAAGATTCTCAGTGGACATTAACTTTGGGGCCAAGAAAACACTCAGAGAAATAGAGAAACCCTTAAAACTTATTTACTGCTTTAAATCAAGCAAATGTGCCAAAGTCTGAAAGGTTCTAAAGAAATAAAAATAATTCATTGCAAACTCAGGACGGGATTAAAACAGAGGTAGCTTTAATGCTGCTTCAGACTGAAGTTAAAAACATGTAGAGAATGATTTAAGTTCATCAATTTAAAACAGAACAGTCTTAAACCCGTGTAAACAATATCCAACATCTCAACAGTGTCCATAAAATGAATTTATGTGTCTTAAAAATAAGCTTATTCTAAAGGCCCTTAGAGTTCAAGAAAATCGGTTAATTAAATGAATAGTTATGTGTGGAGAACAGGAAAAAAACCAAAGCAACAGTCTAAAAAATAAATATGTAGAAATCAAGAAAAATAAGGAGAGAACAGCCTATTAAATTTTAAAATAGTTGAAACAGTCACACAAAAACTTTGATCAAACAGGACAAGAAATGAGGGGAAGGAGCAGTTTATATACAAAAATAATTTTAAAATCTATGGTAACAGATTTTTACAGTACTTGTATCCTAAAAATAGTTTTCTATTATTCATGTAAGTGTATTTTATAATTTATTTCCTAGTGTAGTTTATTAACAAAACTCTTAGAAAAGCGGAAAATAAAAAGTCAGGAAGAGATGAACAAAATGTCTTATCTGAAGACACAGATATCTGCATTGGGTTCATTCTAAGACAGGGTTCTTAACGAGTGTAGCTGGTTCCTCTGCTCACATGACACCGAATTTTCCGGATAAGTAGTTTGTTTTTCCTTGGGATGTTGCATTCCTTCCATCACCTGCCTTGGAAGGCGTGTCCATGGTAGTGTATCTGATCTGAAACCCACCAGCAGTGACTGAGGCATCTGTCAAAAACTTCAAGGTCATCACATTGCCTGGGACAAGGAAAAAGAAAAACAAAAGTTATGTTTCGGGTGGCATAAAAATGGGATATTTCAGGGTTTTATTTTTGCTTTTGAAGTGCTCTTGGTTGCTGAAATTCTGAGATTTTCACAGCAATCCACCGGCTCCAGAAGGAATTGTGGGGTTTTTTTTTACTAGAAATAAATTACCTGTGCTGATGATGTCATCTGGCAACTCATCTCCACAAAACCTGGAAAAAAAAAGGAATATTCATGGTTAAGGATACAGGAACTGTGGCACGGAACCTGCTCTGAGCTGGGGCTCCCAGGCTGTTCTTTCCATAGAGATGAAGGGGATAAATTTGTTTTAAGTCTTCAGTGTGTGCAATTTTATGGTAAATCTACTGCCTAAAGAATTTTTAAACATTATCCCACAGTAAGGTTTAGAGGAGGGAAAAATGCAGGAAGTAGCTCTCAATGTACTCAGGAAGTAAATAATGCAAGGCAAGAAAAAAAGCAATTTAACAAGGCATTAAGTAGAAGAACAGCAGCCCAAGGATAAGAAAGGAAGAATATTGTCAGAAAAAAAAACATTTAAAATTATCTGTAAAAGCAAAACACACAGAATATCCTTGCTTTGCTATGTATGATCCGTAGGGAGGATGTGAAAAGTGGCAGGAATTGGGAAGTGCCTTTTATCACTTTTTATGGTTTGGTTTTTGTTTGTTTTGTACAGTCCCTGTACTGGAAAATCGAGATGTTTCACACCAAAATATGACTTATAAAGGTTAAGTAAAAGTATGACATTGAAGAAAGTGAGAATTAAGCAAAGAAGGAACTAAATCTAATAAGAGAGATGATATACAGCACTTGTTCTTATATTAGCTAATACTTCACTTCTGTAGCAAATAGCAAATTAAATTTAATTTTGCTAACAGCTCACCTCCCTCCTTTCGATTAAAGCAAACACAAAATGCTGTTTGAGATTCCTGAGAGTCCTTCCTGTGAAATACTGGAGAATCAGGATAAGCAGCTGACTAAAAAGCCTTGCAGCTTTCTTTCATCTCATTTAGCAAAGCAAAAAAAGGGCAAAGCTCCCTTCCCTGGAACTCTTAACAAGCATGTGTTAATAATATTAAAGCAAATTGGGAAGATTAAAGTAAAGGAAAGATAAATCAGGTCCTATTGCTGCAGGAATTATGGACATCCCAGCAGTGCTAATTGGATAAGGGATACAGTGTCCTCCTAAAGTTCTGGGGGGCAGATTTAATCATTTATTTGCATATTACAGCTGGATTTGCTTTACCTGCCCACAAAGCCATTGACATCATCGTAGCTGTCATAGATTTCCAAGAAATCCGCCATACAAGCGACGTCGTCTTCCACATCAAACTCCAGGAACTGCAGGTGGATCCTCTGCCCATACTTGACTCTGATGTGCCAGTAGCAAATCTGCTCGTTTTCATACTCATTTGGGTACCCTGGTGACTTAAAAACATGCCTGGAATCTGTGAAGACTCCACCACACTCCTTTCCTAAGAGAGAGATAAAACCGTCAGAGTTTAAGTATTCCTTCTGACTATGGCTATGGTTTGAATCTTTGGGCAGATCCATTAAAAAATCCCACAGGAACAGTGATAGAACTTCTCATATGTTCAAGCACTCGGTGAATGTCAGTCATTCCCAGCTTTTTGGAGAAGGTATTTTGGAAGCAAGAGGTGAGCACTGAATTCAGAGGAAAAAGCTTTCATTGACTTCAGTGGACTTGGGGCCAGAGCTGTGTGTTTTGTGTCAAAGGCATTTGGGATTTCTGGCTCCTTCAAGCTTTACAGCTGGACTTGCAAGTCCCCCTGACTCTCAGTGTCAGCCTTTCTTCTTCAAAGACCTCTTCAAAGAGATTTCTACAAAAAGCCTTCTGAAGGCTGGTGGTCACATACATGGGGGTGTGCTCCTGTTGTTCCTGCAGCTCTTTACTCCCTTTGGGATGAAAACACTTGTTCCAGTTTGATTCATGCTCCAGTAGCTGGAATAGTGTGTCCAGCTCTGGGGCTGCAACACAAGAAGGATGTGGAGCTGCTGGAGCAAGTCCAAAGGAGGCCACGGAGATGCTCCCAGGGCTGCAGCCCCTCTGCTCTGGAGCCAGGCTGGGAGAGCTGGGGGGGTTCACCTGGACAAGAGAAGGATCCAGGGAGAGCTGAGAGCCCCTTGCAGGGCCTGAAGGGGCTCCAGGAGAGCTGGAGAGGGACTGGGGACAAGGCATGGAGGGACAGGACACAGGGAATGGCTTCCCACTGCCAGAGGGCAGGGTTAGATGGGATATTGGGAAGGAATTGCTGGCTGGGAGGGTGGGGAGGCCCTGGCACAAGTTGCCCAGAGAAGCTGTGGCTGCCCCTGGATCCCTGGAAGTGTCCAAGGCCAGGCTGGATTTGGAGCAACCTGGGCTGGTGGAAGGTGTCCCTGCCCATGGCAGGGAGTTGGACTGGATGATCTTTAAGGTCCCTTCAACCCAAACCACTCTGGAATTCTGTGATTCTCTGATCACTGCTGGGTGAGATGTGCATTTCAAACACCAAAGAATTCCACAAGTTCATCAGGTGACATCTTCAGCATCCTGGACCAGAGCACAGGCTCAGTTCAATCAGAGTTTTGTCTTTGTTCCCCTGGCTCCTCACCTCCTCCTCCTCCTCCTCCTCCAAACAACCCCACCAGGCTCTGCAGAGCATGAACAGAAATCCTCCCAATGTGAGAGGCTGAAGCTCTGCCGTGTTGGCAGCTCTGGTTTCCTTTTGTCCTCTGACCAAACAGTGTTTGGATAGTAACTCCCTCCTGGCCCAGAGGAGAGGCTGACAAAGAGAAAGTCGGGCTCACATGCTGTAATTCTGAGTGCAGGAGTCTCTCTTTGGATGTGGAACATCTGGGAATGGCCCCCACCCCACAGAGCTATTTGATGGACGTAAACAAGCCTGTGAGCACAAACAAAATGTGCACAGCTGTGCAGACGTCATGGACAACTCCAGCTCTGGCTCTGCCAGGCATGGCAGGACACTGTGAGCAGGGGGACAGTCAGGTTAAGCTCTGCTTTCCTTCTTGCTGCCTATTTTTTCCACCTTCCCTGCTCAACGAAGTGATACCAAACTAATCTGTAACAGTGGCCATGTCGAAATTTGAGTCACCTCCTGGGGTGAGGTTCTGCCACTCACCTTTGTCATGTCTCCTGATCTGCTTTGGAGATTCATTTTTCTCCATCTAGTTACAGACACATACACAAGGCACTGCTGGGATCTGGATCCGTCAGGGTTTCAGTCAGAGAATCATGGAATCACAGAATGGTTTGGGTTGGAAGGGACCTAAAAGCCCGTCCAGTTCCAACCCCCACACCTTCCACTAGCCCAGGTTGCTCCAACCTGGCCTTGGACACTTCCAGGGTTGGGGCAGCCACAGCTTCTCTGGGCAACCTGTGCTAGGTCCTCCCCACCCTCCCAGCCAAGAATTCCTTCCTAAGAAAAGTTCCTAAGATGCCATGTCACTCATTTTCAGAACTTTTCCTATCTCAGACACAAAAAAGAAGGAATGAGGGTTAACACTGAATTTAACTTGTTCACAGGCGAAATACCTGGAAAGTGGTTCCCATGTGAAACACCTCAGATTGTTCCAATGAAATGGGAGGTTCAATGTGCACCCTTGTCCCAGCAGGACGGTGCCCAGGGGGCTGTTCTGACTCACCGTTGGGGTTGTAGCAGTAGGCGTCCCATCTCTCGCTCCGGTTGAGGCGAATCCCGTAGTCAACAATTCCAGTCCTTCCAAAGCCACAGTTGGCTCCGGCTTTTACGATGGGATAACCAACCCTGCCCTTGGCCATCCAGCCAGCAGCACACACGTGGAAACCTGCAGCAGGGAGGAAATGCCACATGGATGGGATCAATCAATCCCAGGCCGGGAACGTTGCTTTTCACTCAACTAAGTCTTACTCAAGCTGATGACTCAATGACCTGGGTGTAATTGGCCTGGTAGAAATTGAGCTGCAGGAAAGAGCAGGACTTCGAGAGGATAATTTTAAACACAGAGTATAAAATTGCATTGTGTTCCCCACAATGTGATTACTGGGGCATCATTTCAGGACAAAAATCAAACACAGATGGACTGCATAGTTCCCCAAGTAGTCAGTCTGAAGTGCTCTGTGACCACTTGTAATCAAATTATACATTGGATGAGTTCTCTAAGAGTGTGCTTTGTTTCCCTTTTGAAGTCACACAAATCTACTCAATCAGATCTCAGGAGTCCACAGCCTTAATTTCTGAGCATGAATAAAACACTACATACAAAATACAGCTAAAGCCCCGCAGTGTCAATTTAAAACACTTTCAGTTGAAATTTAAATACATGAAATGCCTCAAGCATTTCTTGCCAAACAAGAAAGATCCTGTTAATGCATTTTGGGGCTGAGAACTTAACACCAATAGGCAAAGAATGCAACGTTGTTCCCTGGCTGGTAGAGACCAATCCAATGTTTGCACTGAGAGGAAATGGGACATTTCTGTGGCATCTTAGGGCTCTGAGCTGCTCAGAGAGACAAAAGTCCCCCTTTCACATGGGTCCTGGTGCTGAGAGCCAGTTCTGAATCAACAGCAGAGCAAGAAAATCTCTGGAGTGGAGGATATTTTCCATTGTTTTCCCAGTGCTCTGAATGAATGGATAATTTCTTATTAGGAATCAACTAGAAATACAGTAGAGCCCTCACTCAGCTCCACTTTTTACTCCAAGCATACACAACTCACTTTCTCCCAGAGCAAATATGGCTGGAATAAAAATCTTGATGAAAACAAGAGATTGACCTGTTGGAATGGTTCCCTAGAGGCCACGGAGATGCTCCCAGGGCTGGAGCCCCTCTGCTCTGGAGCCAGGCTGGGAGAGCTGGGGGGTTCCCCTGGACAAGAGAAGGCTCCAGGGAGAGCTGAGAGCCCCTTGCAGGGCCTTAAGGGGCTCCGGGAGAGCTGGAGAGGGACTGGGGACAAGGGATGGAGGGACAGGACACAGGGAATGGCTTTAAGCTGAAGGAGGGTTGATTTAGATGGGATACTGGGGAGGAATTGTTGGCTGTGAGGGTGGGAAGGCCCTGGCACCAGTCACACTCCAGTTACCAAGGTGGGAAATCGGAAGCAACCTGAGCAAAAATCCAGGGATTTCCATGTCTCTCAGTCCCCGAGTTCACAACAGACACGACAACACACAGCTGACAACGCTGACTGAGGGCTGTGAAAAGCCAAGTGCCGTGATTTTTCCATGATTTTTCCATACCTATTTTCCGGGCCGCCTCCAGCTGCTGGTACGTGGCCAGGTGTCCTCCCTCGTACTCGCACACGGCCTTGGCCTCGGCGTAGGTGAGCTGGTACTTCCCGGAGCGGGATTCCCGGTGGTACACCCCGGCCGCCCGCTCTGTGGGAACGAGGCAGGACATGGATTCAGTGTCAGACCTCAGCCCTCCCACCTCCAGCAGCGAGACCTCAACGTTGGGCTCCACCTCTCCTTCCAGGCGGGAAGAGGACCCGAGCGTCCCGCTGGCAGCTGTGCCGCTCGGGAAGCGCCGGGAGAACACGTCCCTCCCGAGCCAAAGCTTTTTGAGAAACCCAAAGGTTGGGTTTGTTTGGGAGAAGTTTTTAACAACAGAGCTTGGAGAATTTTTGAACAACAGCAGGTCAACAAAAGGCTGGGCAGGACTCCCCTGGGATGACTCCGAGGGCAGTCGTTATGGGAACGCCGGCTGTCAGCATCCCCGGGGCTCTGTATCCCGCCTGACTCCGGGGAAGCTCCTTCTGGATTGCTATCACAGCATCCCTCTGGCTGCCACTTGAAGCGCCTTTGGAAGATGAATCAGAGCTTTGTTTCGAGTCTCCAGAGAAGTTAAATCAGAGCTACTTGGATCGAGGAGAGGCGGGAATGAAAGGGGAGAAAAATGCGAAGTAAAAATATCTGAGCGTGTGTCACCGAGGGCAGGACCAGAACAATCGCTGGCTGACATTTCTGCTGCGCACAAAACTCATACATTTGCTTTGGATTTTTTTTCTCTGCCGTTGCAAATATGATAAAAAGCAGCTTTCCAGGGAAACCTAGAAACTGCCAGCGCTGCCACAAGTTTTATAATCTCTTCATGTTGCACTTGTCTGGTGCCATATGTGTGGAAATCTGTCTCGGAACCAACGTGCATATCTAATCTGAACGGTGGTTTTGTTTAGGTCTCTCTCGTATTTAGGATAATCTGGGAGATGTGGCTGTTTGGAGCTATCACTGAAAAAAAGATGGAAAACAGGGAGCATTTTTACAGTAGTTACTGGTCCCATGGGAAAAGGAGGATGTCTTTTTTTTTAGGGACATACTTGGAGTCAGTGGTTTTGGCTGGGTTAGGGTAGTTTTTAAAAAGCCCTGGTCACCACTGAATTGTGGTTAATGGTGAGATCCCTTAATAGAGACGGAATGACGTTGGCCAGGGTGGTTTTTGGACCTGCTGTCACTGGCCTTGTGCCCAGAGAAATAAATTATATTGCTGACAACAGTCTCAGAAGAAACAGAGCCGCCTTCTGGAACATCACTGGGAATATCGGTGGCATGGGCACGGGATAACAGATCCTCCATGGAAAAACCCTCCTGAAGAAGCCAGTTTTATTGCAAAGAAAAGCCATAACAACTCCCAGCTGTGAATGATGGTGTGTTATATTAAAATAACACACTTCAATTAAGGATTTATTCCTCGGAAGTATTGCTTTTCATTCCCTCAATAGCCTGTCACGTCTAAGCTCGTGGTAAGTCCTGATCAATCAGCTCACTGCTGCTGTGGGCAGGGTTGTGTTGGGTTCAGAATGCAGCAGTGGGAAATCTGGGGCAACCTGGAATCCACATTATTGATCACTGAGCTCCCAGGGAAGGGAACTGGGAGATGAACTGGAACATACAGACTGTATTCCTTGGGACTCACTGAGCTGCCCCACCTTCACCACTCAAAGAGCACCTGAATTCTGAGGTCAGTCACCTTTGCAAAATGAGCCAAAACAAGAGATGTCTTCAGGCTCATTGCCACTGGTCTTTGCTGGTGAAAGCCCCCAGTCCTCTGGCTGCCACCTTTGTAAGTCCCATCCTGTCCCTGGATGTACCACCAGGGGTCTGGGGGGATTCTCCACTGCTTGGACTCGTCACTCCCAGAGCTGCCAGTAAAAACTTCCCATTTTCAGTTGGCTTTTTCACCCGGTGATATTGTTTTCAAATTTGATCCCTCCAGAGGTATTTCCTGCCACTTGTTGCTGAAATGTCACTATGGACAGGCATCATATTTTTCAGAATATTGCTGGAAAGTTCTGCTCGCCTCAGGGTCTGCAAGGGCTGGAACCAAGAGCAGCACCACTGAATCTTCCTGCAGTACCCTGGTGGGTGTTGTCACCCTGCAAGGAGCAATCTCCAGCTCCCTTTCTGTTATTCCTTTGTAACTTGGCAAAAGTAGCCTTTGGAAAACCAGACCACACACATGGACTCCACCAAGCTTTGGGATTTCCTGCTGGCTCGGTGTGTCACAGTTTAAAGCATTCCCTAACGTTGTATCCTAATTAACTGATTGGATCTTCCACCGGCAGCTTTCCCCTCCCCTTAATTAATTACATCAGGGGCTGTGCAGACAGATAAAGTCCTTCATCAAACACAGACCCAGGTAAAGCACTGGAATTATTAACCATTCATTGACACATTTGTGTCTCTGGATGTATAAATTTATATAAGGTATTCACAGGCAGGCAGGAATTGCTCTTTATGGAGGTGGGATCATGGCCATGCAGATAAACCTGCAGGGAATTTGTATTTGCAAGCACAAGCCCGTGCCCACCACTGCCAAAGGGCCGTGGGTCTCACACGTTTCTTCCAGCTCACATTTCCTAAAATCTCTCCTTGGAGCCCAGGGACAGCGGGGTCCTGCAAGGACAGGGACCCCCTCCTCATCCACAGCAGCAGGAGGTGGGGAAATGCAGCTAAACTCTTCTGCACAAACACAGGCAGCATGAAATTCGGGCTGCTAAAGTCCCCACAATATGCAGGGAACAAGCACTAAATGCTAAATAAAAAGGAATATTTAGCTTTTAAGCAGAGGGTGGCCATGTAGAGCTCTTGGCATGGACCTCTGAAAACACACGTGGTCAAACTCAGAGAACTCCACTAAATAGGGCAGGAAAAGCCCCTAAACCACCCTGACACGTGGAGTGGGAATGGGGATGGAATCCTGAGCACAGAGTCCTGGAAAACCTACCCTGTGGCACCAAGAACTGGCACTGGAATAAGGGGATGAGAAAATTCGGGCAGGACTGTCCCAACCCTCCCAGCAGCTGACAACAAACCTTTGGTTATAACCTGCTCCTGTCAAAAATGAGCCACATCAACATTCCATTCCCACAAGGAATCCATTCCCAGGGAGGTGGTGGAGGCAGCTGCAGCAGGACTGCACTGCACACATGTACTGAGAAACAAGAGATGTTTATAACCAGAAAAAAGGTAAGACATGAGCATTTCCAGGCTGCCAGTAATTCGAGATTTTATAGCTGTGCTTATGATTTGCTGGGGAAAAAAAAGGTAAGATGGAAATCTCCCTACATTTTCAATTTGATGCTTTATCAGAAGAGGAGATAAGCAAAGCTCAGATGTTTTATTCAAGGAGGGGTCTTGCTTTAATGCACAGTGAAGGTGAGATTGGGGTGACTTGTTTTACTATTCAAGTTAACCTTTTTGGTTTTTTTTAAATATACAGAAGCCTGAACTGGCTGTCTGTGATTTTGCCAATTTTTTTTTTATTTCCATACAGTGTCACTGAATTCCATTGGTAATTCAATTTGAGCTTCATTTCCATAATGTTATTGCTGTAGTTACACTGGATAGTGCATTTCTAGTTTGGTTTTATTTAGAACAAGTCATCAGTTTTCCCCTCCTGGTTTATTTTTACTGACTCTCATGGTAAATGCTTCGAGGTGCAGCAAACCAGAATTTTGCTGTGCATTCCAATCAACACTCAGCTGCTCCATTTTAAAGAAGCTGAAATGTTTTTTCTTCCATTTGACTGCTGAAGTGATTGATCGTTGTTATCCCAAATTTGCATTTATGCTGTAGCAGTCCCTAAAGCTACGACCTGGCTGGTTGTAGTACCTATGGATACACCAATATTTGCAAATAACACATCCAGGACCCATTTCCTGTCCGTGAGTAAAAGTGGGATGTGGGTGAGACTCTTCCCCATCATCAGGGGGAAGAGTCATCATCATCACCATCACCTGGCACTCAACTTCTCTGCCTTGGCCATCAAGGCTTAAAAACCCTCAGCCCTACTCATCTCCTGTGTCTCTTTGTTGTTATTCCAGCCAGGAATAAAAACTCTGCTTGTTTCCCACACAAACCTCTCCTTTGTCATCCTATTTTTGAACAGCAGCCACTCGAGGTGGAACCTGAAGCTGCCAAGCTGTTCTTCCTTGGAGCTCCCCCCCCAGCTATGGGACACAGGAGGAATGTCCCAAGGTCGGGAGGAGAGAGGAGCCATTAAAAATGTGCAGTCAAATGGAAAGCAATATAGATAATTTCTGTGCCTCATTTGTGTTCCTGGTGGTTTACATGGTCCTCTGAGAGGGGCTGGAGCCACGTGGTTGCTGCACCAGCTGACAGAGCCTGGTCCTGCTCCCTCCTGGGACATCTGAGCACAACAGAAACACAGGGATTCCCTAAAATCCTTAAAGAATCACACAACATTCTGTAGAGGAGAAAGGATTTGTAAGCATTTGTCAATAAAACAGAGCACTCAATGCATGCCTTTATTTTGGCATCCTTTATGTGACTCGACTCTATGTTTGCCTGTTGCATTGGATAATTTTAAAGATCTATGAAAGAATCTCAGAGCTATTTAAACCCACTTGAGGTACAAGCAACTCTTCCCACAGCATTTTTTCTCTTGCCCTTTGGAAATCTTCTGTGCCCTGTTAAATGATGTGAGCAAACCGATGGCCAAAACACAGACATTTCTGTGCTTTTCTAGAAACCTAGGAAATATTATCACTATTATTTCCAGACCATTTAGTTTCATATGCAGGACCCCAGGCATGTGAAGTATGTTCATGCAGAAAGCAATTCATTCCTTTGGCAAATGTTTCTTTTCAGACCCTTTTTCCTTCGTTACAAGCAACTGTTATTTAGTGCAGTTTTCACCTCACGCTGCAGGAAAACACGTTTGGATAAATATTCCATCATTAGCTTTTCTTGCATTTCAGAGGAGGAGTAATATAGCATATGTGTAAAAACTTACCTTCACTACTCAGATAAAATGGTTAAATGAGTTGCAATGCAGGATTTTGCTGATATTAAAGCACAGCTCAGCTTTGTGCTGCTGTTGGACAAACACGGTGGCTCTGCAGCAAAACATTCCCAGGACTGAAGTTATTCCTTACCTAACCAAATGGAGTTGTGCAGCACTCCATCCTTGAAGCCCCACGCTCCAGCCTCGTCCCACAGCAGGGCAGAGAAGAGAATCAGTGCAATCATCTCCCGGGAAGGCTCAGGCTGTAAATATTCCCTGGTCAAACGCTCCGGGTCGGCTCTGGCTCGGTGCTCCTGGAACATCTGGGAGCCAGACCTTAAATAGCACGTTGAGCTGTGAGGTCAGTGAGGCTGCTCCAATTGTGCTGCTGCAGTTCTTACACAATTAAATGTGGTGTCTGCAGTCGCCCATGTGACTCACTTTTGGCTCTCTCCATTCCCAGCCTGTCCAAGAATCCATTCTATCCCTCACTACTGCAGCACACACGGACGCTCTCCAAGCCAAAGGCTGTTCATTCTTTGGCACTGGCTGCCTTCAGATTCCACAAAATAAAACTCAGAGCCAGTCTATCTATGCTTCCAGTCACACCACTTACAGGACCCGAGACATCACACTCTCTCTCATTCTCCTTTAAACATTCTGCCCCTCTGTAAATAATTTGGATTTAATTTCACCTAACCAATGGGAAAACGTCGGGAGAAGATTTTACACTGACTGTTTGAATTCGGCTTCCCCACACGGAATCTGTCACTGCAAATCAACCTCCCAGATCAGCACAAAACTGCAAGTGTCAAAAACAGATGCTCTTTGTTCTGCAAAGTGGGAAATAAAGCTCAAAACTTCCCCTCCAAACCACAGTTTAAAGGCTGAATCACGGCGTGACAGCTGTCTGCTTGTCTTCCCTTCTGGCTGGAAGTGAATCCTGCAGCTGCTCCTCGTGGATGAGTGGGAGAGAGGAAAGGGGGGAAAGATGAGAGCATGGAAAAGGAGCTGGTGCTCCACACTCCTGAGCAGCTCTTGGAAAACTCTGCAGTTGTGATAACATCGGTAACTTCTGAGTCAGGAGCTACGGACAGAGACATGACAATGGTCACACCAACAATTGAGCTACAAGAGGTGGGAAGGGAAGGGTGGAGGTGGCTGGGCCTGCTCAAAAATGTTTTAACACAGATGACTTGTGGTGAGGATGATTCTTCATCACTCCAGGCTCAGAGTGAGGAAAGCCTGGTTACACTGTACACACACACACATGTTCCTCCCACCCAAACTCAGACAGATGCTGGAGGGAAAAGCTGTTGGGAAACAGAGTTGAGGGAATTAAAAGGCGCCTTCCACCAAGATACCAGTGTCCAGGCCTGTCCCTCTCCAGCTCTCTCTTGTGGGGGCAGATCTGCTCTTCCAATGAAGTTCCCCAAAGTGCACACAGTGGCCACAGTGGGGTCACTGGTCCAACCTCACAGAGGATGCTGGGACAGGGACTGACCCAGGGACTGATCCAGGGACTGACCCAGGGGCTGCCAGTTTGTTCACAGCCTCTCCCACACTGGTGGTCCCACCCCCTTTACAGCTCCCCTGGCAGCAAAACAGGGAAGCTCCCCACAGACTTGTCTCATCACAGTGAGGTGGGAGCTCTGCTCTGCTTCTTCTTTCCACATTTGAGGGTTGGTGCTTCATTTGTACTTGTTTCCTGCTTTAGAGAATCCCAGGATCGCTGAGGTTGGAAAAGACCTCCAGGACCAAGTCCAACCTGTGCCTGATCCCCATATTGCATCCCAGCCCAGAGCACTGAGTGCCATGGCCAGGCCTTCCTTGGACACCTCCAGGAATGGGGATTCCAAACCTCCCTGGGCAGCCCCTTCCAGTGCCTGACCACCCTTTCCAGGGAGAAATTCCTCCTGAGTTAATGCCTAATAGAGAAGAGTCCGAGGTTTTTGAATGACACCTAATTAAACTTTATTCTGTGAAAATATTTTGGTAGAAGCCTGTTGCTTTCTAAACATTAATCCCCAAGACAAGTACCTGAGGTTACCTGGGACATGAGTTGTGAAGGTGGCAGCACAAACTTTTGGGGTGTTGCTGAATGTGTTACTCTGGAACATTCATTTCTCTCTGGCTGAAGGAGACTGGCACTTAGTCTTTGCTGGTTTGGATTTGGGACACAGTCATGGCATCTTCTGGGAACCTGAAAACAATAAAAGAGGCAGGAGGGAAGGGATGGAAACCAAGGGAAAGGGAAAACTCAACAGTAATATAATTCACTGGCAATCTGGAAAGATAAATTCCTGGTTCAGGTGGAGAGAAAGAAGCGTGATGTGATGTCTTTCCTTGCACAGGACCCCTTTTCTCTGTGCCACTCCATGAGAATTCCTCTGGATGGTATTGCAGTGTGAGTTGATATTAGTGATCTATCAGAGCCAAATGTCCACGCCACAGGAATTGTTCTGTCCTTGGTAGGTGGGTTCCAGTGCACAAGATCACAGGAATGTGGGAACAGTGACTAATTTGTAAGAGCAAGGAGTGCAAACCATGGAGATGGTTTGTCACAGACTGACACACTGAAATCATTAGGAAAGACACTCGTGCAATAGTGAATAAAAATTACTCATTACTGAAGTTAAGTGTTAATGAGGAAAGGCCTCAGCTGGAAAAAGCAACTTAATAAATAAAGGGCATAAAGAAGCAAACAGTGCTTGAGAGCAGCTCTTGATTTATGCAAGGTCTGAGGTTTGAGTGAACACAGAATCATGGAATTAAGGTTGGAAAAGACCTTTAAGATCATCAAGTCCAACTGTCAAAACAGCACCACCACCATGGTCTCCACTAACCATGTCCTCAAGTGCCACATCCACACAGCTTTTAACACTCCCAGGGATGGGGACTCGACCATCCCCTTCCCTGGGCAGCTTGTTCCAAAGCTTGACAATCTTTTCCACGAAGAAATTTTTCCTCATGTTCAGTCTAAACCTCCCCTGGCACAACTTGAGGCTGTTTCCTCTCATCCTGTCACTTGGTACCTGGAGGAACATCCAGGTGCCCTTGTACCTCCCTGGAGGAACAAGACTAGCTGTCAAGAATTCCAAGGATATATGGTGGCTCATGGGTCACAGAATCAGGGAATAACTGAGGCTGTAAGGCAGCAGGAGAGATCATCCAGTCTTGGAGTCAGGATTCAGGTGTCACATTGGGAATAGTCCCTCAAATGAATAAACTTCATCTTTGTCAGACAGTAACAAATCTCTGACAGGAGGGGGGAGCCGGGGGGGGGTCGGGCTCTGCTCCCAGGGAACAAGGGACAGGAGGAGAGGGAACGGCCTCAGGCTGTGC